TAAGAAAAATGGAGGATAATGTTACAAACAAGCTTGGAAAAACGTTTTCGAAAGAATTGGAAAAACAATGTTTGTTTTTTTTTTTCTAATATGAGAACCTAAAATTTATTAATAATATTTTCTAATCAATTATTCTTTTATATATTCTATAATTATAAAAATAATGATAAAAATATGGAATATAGTCCAAAAAATAGAGGATGAACGCGTAGCTCATCAAGCAGCTGAAACTTCACGCCAAGAAACAATTCTTAAAATGGTATCTCAAACACTTAGTACAAATACTTCAAAATTATTGGAAACAACAATTCGTAATGAAATTCAGAATTCCGTTTTACCTACGTTAAGTAAAATGGTTACCAATGCTGTCGATAAACATGCTCATAGAGGGATGGTTGATGCAGTAAACAAGGTTTGAAGTTATAATTAATTAATATTGATTAATTAATTAATTTCATTTTATATTATTATTTAAAGACAACCTTTTAATTTATTATCAATTATCAATTGTAGAGCATACCAACAGCAATCGAAAAATCTGTTGCGGATAACGTGCAACGTGTTCTCGCAAAGACGCCAGTAATTGAATCTATAGCAAAAGGAGTTTCCAGAGCCATTAGACCAGTTATAGAAGAAACTTTTAGGGAAAATTTCACAAATGTTCTTATTCCTTCTTATCAAAAAGCTACTAACGCGATGTTCGAACAAATTACAACCACCTTCGAAGCTGGTATGCAAGATATTGCTGTGAAGAGTGCGCAAGCTTCTTCATACAACAATGCAAACGGAGGAGATCAAAGTACTTTGATTCGCTTGCAGGCTTCCGTTGATCATCTTGCATTGAACGTTCAACAACTACAGCAATTGTATCAATTGCAAACTAATTTGTCAAGACAAACGGGAGGGCAGCAACCAGAACCGCAATTGGGACGCACTTCTGATGAATATCCTTTTTAATCAAACCTCTTTTTTTTTTTAACAAATATGGATAAAATTGTTCAATACAATAAATAACAAATTTTATTTCCTTAATAATTTCTAAACTATGCAGCACCAATTAGCTCGATCGCTTTCTGGTGAATTAAAACGTATTTTAATTCCGAACGCGTCTACTTCTGCCCAGCAACAATCTGTCTCCCAACAAGAATCATATAGTTATTCTTCTAGAGCCTCCTCCTCACAACAGCCGCAACATCATCAACAGCAGTATCAACAACAAACACACCCACAACAACAAC